ACATCAGTATAAATTGTATTGGCTAGGGTTCTTCGTTGCAAATGAAGCTGATACTGGTTCACTTAAGCCGAAAGGCATTAATCAAAGGGATTAATTAAAGGTGTTAGGTCACTCAGGGCATTGACAAGAAGGCCAGAATACAGGTTGGCCAAGAGAACAGCCAAGACCTGCTGTAGGGATAATCTCCTCAGGGCAGTGTTGCTGGTTTTGTTTTCCCTAGATTGGTTGCACTGCTGGACACTCAACTCCTTCAAAATCACTGAGAATAATCTCCAAAAGATCCTGTGCCTTGTGTTATTTCCTTAAGATTCATACCCTCTGCCAGAAGTGTCTAATTAACCTCACTTAAATTAGGTGCTGTGCTCTAACTGCTAGGGCTTGAGAGGGGGCTATATCCCACCTATTTTGGGATTCTCCCAAATATGACAAGATTTTGGGCAGTCAAAACAAAATGTCCCCTGTATAAATAGTTTCACCAAAGTCCAAAGTTTAAAATTCAGAGAAATGGAATTTTAGAGCTAATAGAAACCTTCAAGAAATAATGTCCTAACTTTATAGGTGGAAAAAGTGAGGGCTTTACAGGTAGAATGACTTGCATAAGATCACACAGCCAGGGGGTGCCTGGGTGGCTCAGTCGTTAAGCGTCTGCCTTCGGCTCAGGTCATGATCCCAGGGTCCTGGGATTGAGCCCCACGTCGGGCTCCCTGCTCCGTGGGAAGCCTGCATCTCCCTCTCCCGCTCCCCCTGCTTGTGTTCCCTCTCTTGCTGTCTCTCTCTCTCTTTCTTTCTCTCTCTCTGTCAAATAAATAAATAGATGATAGATAGATAGGTAGGATCACACAGCCAGTTGGCAGAGCCAGGACTGGAACACAGATCTTTATAGTCACCATTACTTTGTGTTGCTCTAAACTTTTACTCTTGGGTTACCAGTATGACTTTGAATTTTTGGCTTTTAAAGTAATGTATTAATGTAATCTTTCAATAAGAACTTGAATTATTGGGGCCTACTTTCATATTTACTCAATTTATTCAGTAAACATTTGAGTGCCTGATGTTTACCAGGTACTTGCTAGGAGCTGGAAATACAGATATGAAAGAGACTGATTCTGGGACATTAGGGAATTCATAGTTTAGTAAAGGAGGTAGATACAAAGATGGATTAATTATAATGTGATGTGTGTCTGTACAGAATAAAAGTAAATGTATATGGTCAACTCTGCCTGGAAGTTAACCTTGAACCTTACGTATTTTTGAAGGTTGAAGAGGAGTGGGCATTTCAGACAGAGTATATTAGTAGTTAGTGTTTTCTTCAGTCTTGAATAGCCGGAGTTGTATGTGATAGCCAGCAATCTTTGTTTCCTAACTGCTATTTAAAGGTTAAGGGGAAAATACAAGCCATGTTTTTTTGTTTTTAAGATTTTATTTATTTGAAAGAGGGAACGAGAGCACTCGTGTGTGTGAGGGGGTGGGCAGAGGGAGAGAGAATCTTCAGGCTCCATGTGGGTAAGGTTAAGATTCTCTCTCCCTCTCCCTCTGCCCACCCCCTTGTGTCCTCTCTCTCTTTTTTTATAAAGATTTTATTTATTGACACAGAGAGAGACAGCGAGAGAGGGAACACAACAAGCAGGGGGAGTGGGAAAGGGAGAAGCAGGCTTCCCGCCGAGCAGGGAGCCGGATGCTGGGCTCGATCCCAGGACCCTGGGATCATGACCTGAGCCGAAGGCAGTCGCTTAACCAACCGAGCCACCCAGGCGCCCCTCGTGCCCTCTTTTTAGAAAAAAAAAAAAAACAGAACAGTGTTTCAGATATATAAAAAGACTTTAACATGAATGTTACAAATGCACTTACATATTTTTTAAAGAGTTTATTTATTGATTTTAAAAGGAGAGAGAGCGCACATGCAGCAGAGGGGGAGGGAGAGGCTGGGACAAAGACTCCCAAGCAGACTCCCTGCTCAGTGCAGAGCCCTATGCAAGGCTCCATCTCAGCATGCTGAGATAATGATCTCAGTCAAACCAAGAGTTGGTTGCTTAACCGACTGAGCCACCCAAGCACCCCCAAATAGTTATATTTAAGAAATAAAATATAGGTAAAGTCTCCTCTCTACCTTTGCCCAGTTGAAATCTCCTCTGTCCCCCAGATTATCTATCCCAGTTAGTTGTGTTGAATTCCTTTGTCCTTATATGTATACGTCCCTAAAAGGTATAAAACAACACAAAAATATATGGAATGTTTAATAATAATAAATATCTTGAATGTTTTAAAGCTTTAGGCAGTTCTGAACAAAATACTAACAAGTGGAATCCAGTAATATATAAAAAGGAATAGGAACAGTGGGATTTATTTTAGGAGAGCAAGGTTAGTTCATATAAAAATCAGTTTAATACAGTACCTTAATAGAATAAAGGACAAAAACCACACAGTCATCTCAGTATATGCAGAAAAGCATTTGACAGTCCAACCTCCTTTCATGATAAAAGAAAATAAAAAGCATTCAACAACTGGGAATAGAACGAAACTTCCTCAATTTGATAAAGGGCATCTACAAAAAACACAGCTAACATAGTTTAGTGATGAAAACCTAAAAGCTTTTCCCCTGAGATCAGGAATAAGACAAAGATGTCTGCTCTCACCACTTCTATTCAACATTGTACTCTATGTTTTTGCTAAAAACTACAAAAGATCATTGCAAGAAATTTTAAAACACATAAATGGAAGATCTGTGTTCATGATTGGAAGACTTAATATTGTAAAGATAGCAATACTAGTCAAACTGATCTGTAAATTCAACACAGTCCCTATCAGAATCTTAGCACACTATTTTGTGCCAATTGACAAGCTGATCCTGATACTTAGATGGAAATGAAGAAGACCCAGAATGGTCAAATCAGTCTTGAAAAAGGACAAAGTTGGAGGACTCACTCTTCCTGATACGAAAACTTAATAGCAAGCTATAGTAGTTCAGATGATACGGTACTGGCATAAGGATAGATCTATAAATTGTTGGAATAAAATTGAGAGTTTAGAAATAAACCCTTAAACTTATGGCCAATTGATTTTCAACAAAAGTGCCAAGACAATTCAATGGGGAAACAATAGTCTTCAAATGGCACTGGGACAACTGGAGATGCACATGCAAAATAATGAGTTTAGACCCTCTACCTCACACCATACACAAAAATTAATTCAAAATGGATCAAAGTGTAAACTAATACTAAAACTCTTTTTTCTAATACTAAAATTCTTAGAAGAAAATAACAGATGTTAGTCCTTATGACTTTGGATTAGGAAGTGATGGGTTTCTTAGCTGTAACACAGAAACATAAGCAATCAAAAAGGTAGATGAATTGGGACTTCATCAAAATGAAAGACTTGTTCATCAAGGGTCGGTATCAAAGTGAAAAGACAACCCACAGAATGGGAGAAAATATTTATAAATCATATCTGGTAAGGGACTATTATTCAGAGTATATAAAAACTCTTTACAATTCAACAATAAAAAGACAACCCAATTTAAGAATAGGCAAAGATTTCAATAGATATTTCTCCAAAGAAGATACACAGATGGCCAATAAGCACTTGAAAATATGCTCAGCATCATTAGTCACTGGGGAAATAAATCAAAGACCACAATGAGATATACTTCTCACACCCACTAGAATTGCTAGAATCAGATAGTTATTGTCTAATAACAAGTGTTGGCAAGGATGTGAAGCAGTTGGAACCCTAATATATTGTAGGACTATAAAATGGTGCAGCTGCTTTGGAAAATAATTTGGCACTTCCTCAAAAGGTTAAACATAGAGTTGCTATGACCCAGCAAATCACTCTTGGGAATCTACTCAAGAGAACTGAAAACCTGTGTCTACATAAAAACTTCTACACAAACGTTTAAAGCATTATTATTCATAATAGCCAAAAAGTAGAAACAGCCTAAGTGCCCATCACCTGATGAATGGATAAACAAAATGTGATATATCCATTCAGTGAAATATTCAGCCAAAAAAAGAGGGAACAAAGTATACCATGAATCAACCTTGAAAATATGCTGAGTGAAAAAAGCCAGATACTAGAGACTATATATTGTATGATTCTCTTTATATGAATTGTCCAGAATAGGCAACTTCATAGAGACAGAAAATAGATTAGTGGTTGTCAGAGGTTATGGGGAGGCAGGACTAGGGAGTCACTGCTGATGGGTATAGGTTTTTGCGGGGGGATGGTGAAAATGTTCTGGAATTAGTGGTGATGGTTACACAACCTTGTGAGTATACTAAAAAACATTGAATTGTAAACTGTAAAAGGATGATTCTTATGGAATGTGAATTACATTTCTAAAAGAGGGAAAATATGTAATTGTTTAAGTTTTATAATCAACCCTTGAGGTGTAGGTCTTGTTATTATCCTCATTTTACAGATTAAGAATAGAGACTAAGGGGCGCCTGGGTGGCTCAGACGATTAAGCGTCTGCCTTCGGCTCAGGTCATGAAATCAGGGTCCTGGGATCAAGTCCCGCATCAGGCTTCCTGCTCAGCTGGGAGCCTGCTTCTCCCTCTGCCTCTACCGGCTGCTTCCTCTGCTTGTGCTCTCTCTGTCAAAAATAAATTTAAAAAAAAAAGAATAGAGACTAAGTAGTGTTTTAGGTTAATGAATGTTAGACTGGGATTCAAACTCAGGAACTTGAGTTTTCACTACACTTTATACTGTTTTAAACCCACCCCACTTTTTTTTTTTTTTTTTTTTAAGATTTTATTTCTTTATTTGAGAGAGAGCTCACACACACAAGCAGGGGGAGTGGCAGAGGGAGAGGGAGAAGCAGGCTCCCCATCGAACAGGGAGCCCGATGCAGGGCTTTATCCCAGAACCCTGAGATCATGACCTGAGCCGAAGGCAGACACTTAATTGACTGAGCCACACAGGCGCCCCAATACAAGTCATTGTGTGGACAAGGATTGACTACAACCACCTGCACCATTCCTTTTATTTTTCTTCTTTTGCAGATCCATTGATGAAATGAAACGGTTGGAGGAAATGTCACATATGTTTCAGCGCTCTGGAGTTGAATGCCACCCTCCAGAACCAAAATCACAGAGAGAAGGAAATGAAGATTCAGGGGGCAAAGAACAGCCATGGGAAATGGTGATGGATAAGAAACACTTTAAGCTCTGGCGCCGCCCTATTACAGGCACCCACCTTTACCAGTACAGAGGTGAGCCCAGCTTGGCTGCCTTGCAGGTGTTTTCTGTGATTGCCCAGATTTGCAGGACTTTTGTTCTTCATACTCTCTAAACAGTTCTGGTTGTTGCTCAGAAAATTTGCCATGGTTTCCTGTTTTTTGTTTTTCTTCTCCCAGATGACAAGCATCTCAGTGTCTTCATTACTATACTTTGCTGTAGGTTATCTTTGTCTTACTTTGCTGCCCCAGTATGACGTCTAGTTTCTGCATCTGCCTTTAAGATCTGTCAGTACTCTATAATTGAAATGCAGTTAAGCGATAGGAATAAGGTGAGTGATGAGGGTGTGGCAGACATCTCTTGTTCTTTCTTGTCATTCTAGTTTTTGGAACCTACACAGATGTGACACCTCGGCAGTTCTTCAATGTTCAGGTGAGTACATTTTTCTTCTCGGATTTGGAGCTTCTAAGCCTAGAAATCCACTCAACTACTGTCCACATGAATAATTTCTTTGACTCGGAAGACATGGTTTCAGTACATCCATCTATCTCTGTACCCTTCATCTCATGTCAGATAACATCTGGGTAAACATTGGGCTTACCATTCTTTGTCCACTGGGGGTGAGACCAATTCTGTCCTCTCACAGGGCTGTTGAGAAGATTAAATAGAGGAATGTATTTGAGTGCTTTTAGTATATTTTACAAGGTTTTATAGTTATTTTCTTCTAAATAATTTTAAGGGCAAGTTACATATGTGGCCCTTTATTCCAAAATCCTTCAGTGTGTATTTCCTGAAGTTAGACATATTCTCTTAACCATGGTGTCATTATCAAAGTCTATAAATTTAACATGGATGGAGCTCTTATGTAATCTTCTGCTTGTATTCTGGTTTTTATCTGTTGACCCAATGACGTCCTTTGTAGCATTTTCCTTTTCAGTACAGATCCAGTCAGGATTTAGGAATCTGGAACATTTCCATAGTGAAGGTGTTTATTTAGTAAAGATGAAGAGTATCTCTTCGAAGACTGCTTTCTTCCTTGGGAAACGTATGAAAAGGGGAGATGGGATCACCCAGAGTTCTATAAAAAAAAATTATTTTCCTTCCTGGATATTTCACTGTTTCGTCAGGCTTTCTGGAACTAATTGACGATTGTAACACCCACTAGTAATACGCAGGTGCACACTTCCCCCCAAGCACTGAATTTTACCAATTTATTTGGTTGGTTTGGATGTATATAATACGTCTTATTCTGAAATTCCCTACTCACCAGTCATGCTAGAAATTAAAAAATACGTTATTTGCATTTCTTTGTGTGAGGTGTCTGCTCATATTTTGGGTATTTTTGTCTGTTTGAAACTTTAAAAAATTGTTTTGTCCTTACACATTTATATCACTACCTATTGCATTTTCCTGAGACATGTCTATTACAGTATTTTTTTTCTTACATTTTCCTTTGCTTTGTCTTATTTTAAGATTTTATTTATTTATTTGACAGAGAGAGAGACAGCGAGAGAGGGAACACAAGCAGGGGGAGTGGGAGAGGGAGAAGCAGGCTTCCTGCGGAGCAGGGAGTCTGATGGGGGGCTTGATCCCAGGACTCTGGGATTGTGACTTGAGCTGAAGGCAGACACTTAATGACTGAGCCACCCAGGCGCCCTTTTTCTTTTTTTAGTATTAACTTTCAAGGTAATGCTATTGGTCTACAAGAAAGGATTTTAAAAGACTTATCTCTAGTAAACACAGCCCTGTCTTTCCCACTTTGCCACTTTTAGGTCAGGTTACTGTTTCAGAATAAGGTCCTTGGGTCAGAGGTCCAAGCATCTGGAGAAGCCTTCTGCAACTTTGTTTTGGATTACCTGGGTCTTCATATCTTTTCTCTTTCTGCAGCTGGATACAGAATATAGAAAAAAGTGGGATGCCCTGGTAATCAAGCTGGAAGTGATTGAGAGGGATGTGGTTAGTGGTTCTGAGGTTCTTCACTGGGTAACCCATTTTCCTGTGAGTATTTTTACTACTGTTTTTACTTTTATCACATCCATGTGGGGCATAACACTAATTCTGCCTATCCTTTTCTTTAGTATCCGATGTACTCCCGGGATTATGTTTATGTTCGACGGTATAGCGTGGATCAGGAAAACAATGTGATGGTGTTGGTGTCACGGTATGTGTGGTTACCTGTGGCTCCTGCTGAGTTCCTTTAACTGTGTCCTTCATATATGTGTGGTGGGAGTTTGCATGTTCTCAGTGCTGTTATGAGTGATGCTAGGACCCCATCCATCCCAGCTAAAACCTGAGTGGGCTGTGACTGGTGACCACAGTCTAGGAATATTGAAGGGATCTATGTACGCTTTTCATTAAAGCATTTCTTTAGTTCCTTGGTGTTGATAATTAAAAAAAGAAGTGCTCTTTTCTTCAACACGAAGCCTAATGAGCCAGGAATCACCAAGGAAACTCACTTTGTTTTTAGAACTTAGTTTGTATTAATTCATTTTAGTGACTCTTCTGTTTTATTTTAAAAATTAGAGCCAGCTTTTTAGATTTTCCTCTTAACTGTAGCTCTCATGCTGTTTTCTTATTTGTAGACATTACTAAGAGTTTCCTTAACTTTTCTTCTTACCAGTGCTGTGGAGCACCCTAGTGTTCCAGAGTCTCCAGAATTTGTAAGGGTCAGATCGTATGAATCCCAGATGGTTATCCGTCCTCACAAGTCATTTGATGAGGTGAGTTTTACATCGTCCAAGAGAGGATGTGTAGTGGCTTTGGGATTTTCTCAAGGAATGCCTTTTGTCTGACCTGAGAAGGGCAGTGGTTCTCAAACTTGGCATGCATCAGAGTCTGCTGGAGCTTGTTAACATACAGTGCTTAGGTATGGCCCAAGAATTCTCATTTTTAAGAAGTTCCCAGGTGAGGCTGATGCTCCTGGTTTGGGAACCACTGCTATAGGGTGATCTACCTGGAAGATCCCCCAGGACAGAGTACTAACGACCCACTGACTCCCATTCGTTGGAGAGACAGGAGAAGACTGGCCTGTGGTTAGCAGCATTCTTTAGGAACTGAAGGGAGCACCTTTTCCATCAAAATTTCACTACAGTGGGCAGAACACTTAAAACTTTTCTGGACTTTTGTTTCCTTGTCTGTAAAATGAGAGGGTTAGACTAATCCTATCAGTCTTCTTTAAAATTCTGTTGACCTTTTTTTGAGAAGAATATTTTTCTTCAACTTAGGGAGTGTTTTATTTATTTTTTTTAGCCAAATTGCTATTGAGTTTACATATTGATTCCACTGGTTGCTGTTTTTAGTTGTATTTCACTTTATAACTAAAGGCTTTGTTTTCTCCCCATTACTTTTGTTTTCATGGTGTATGAATTGTGTACTTTAGTATGGTTTTGTTTTCAACAAGTTGTTCTATTTATACTGCCTGAAGTGGGACTTTAAATATGATAGAAATGGTGGTTCATTTCAGTCAAGTATGGTGTTTGACTCTCAACTGGGAGATCTGTGTGTTTACTTGTATAGTATTTTTAGAGCAGTGTTTTTCAAACCTCGAATTGCTCCCCATTAGTGGAAGACAAAACTATTTTAGTGCATTATGACCAGCTTAAAAAAAGAGAATACGTAGAATAGAAATCATCCGAGTGTAAGCATATTTCATGAGACTTTTGTTTAGTTAGATAAATATGTATGAATGTGTGTGTAGGAGGCTGAGAGAGAACTGGTTGCAGTGTAAAAAGGATTATTTACAGTGTGTCATAGTTAAAAATGTTTGAAAGTCCTTACTTTAGAAGATCGAAAAGAAGCAAGGTTACTGTCCATGGCTAGTCCCCTTTAGGAAGGGGAGCCTAGGTTGGGCTGGAGATAGTGTGGGAGGCAGACTTAGGCCTCACTTTTTTCCTTTATATTGCTTTTGAAATTTGGACCTTGTCCGTTTATTTCCACTTGAAAAAACTGAATTGAGTTCCAGCATTGCTACCTTTAGAAATTGTGACCATGAAGCAACTGAAGCATTGTTTCGCACCTAGCAGAGTGTGTTGCATCTAAATAGGGATAAAATAAATAATTTTTCAGCTGAGGTGGGGGAACAGTAAGAGTTATCTATAAAATTCTTTTGGTATATTTGTGGCAAGCTCTTACGAAAAAGGTAAGATTTGAGTTGGTTCTTACGAAAAGGCAGACTGGATAGAGGACAACAGGAAGTGTAGAGGACACGGTATACCTAAGATCAAGACAGGAATGAGCCGTGAATATGTTCAGAGACTCACCACTTAGAAAGGATGGTTGAGATTAGCGAGGAGTGACTAATTACATTGACCATGTGAGAGTACTTGAAAACCAGGCAGCAGCATTTGGACTGCCAGATGGGATCCTTGAGCCAAGGTATGGTGTTTTGTTTTTTAACTTTTTATTAGGGAAAAATTGAAATATATATGAAACATAAAGAAGTAGAATAGTATAATGAACCTTCTGTATCCATCCCCAGCTCCAACAGTCATCAGTTCATGGCCGTACTTGTTTTATCTGTATCCTTTCTTGTTCCTTTTCCTGCTGTCCTGATTATTTTGAAGCAGTTTCTAGCTTCGCTATAGAAGAAGTTTTCTATAGATACCTAAGTGTTTATCTTGAGATTTTTGAAAACATAACCTCAGTGTCCTAATAATCCCTAATACCAAATAATCTAGTTAGTGTTTGAATTTTCCCGATTGTCCATGAAATTTTTTTGGAGTTGGTTTATTAGAATCTGGATCCAAATATGACCCAGACACTAAAATTTGTTCATACTATCTCTTGAGTCTTTTGAAGTCAGTAAGTTTTCCCTCTTTTTTTTTTTATTTTGCAATTGTATTTGTTGAAGAAGCAGGGTTCTTTGTCCTGGATCTTGATGATTGTGTGTGTCCCCATAGTATCCATAGTGTTATTTAACAGGTTCTTCTGTCCCCTGCTGTATTTCCTGGGTATTGGTAGTTATTGATGAAACCTAAGGCTTAAACAGATTCAGGTTGGTTGGTTGTTTTGGGCAAGACCACTTTATTAGAAGGCAGGTGATGTTTGATTGTCTCTTTCTTTGTGAATTTAGAAATTATTATTGCTCAGATCCATTATTTCATTAGTGGTATAACAAAATGCTGATTCTGTAATTCATTTATTTCCACTTACTAAGGTACATTAAGGAAAAATTTTCTCACCATTTGTTTTCCTTTAGTTTACATAGGAAAGGGAAGTAAGAGAAATGGTTGATTTTTTTTTTCTTTTATTTATGAGTTTGAAAATAATGAATTGGTTCTTTCAACCAGTGATCCTCCAAAGGTTAAGTTTTGTTTTTGTTTTAAAGAAATAGCATTAGTCTTTGCTATAGAAGAACCAATAGAAGACTTCTATAGGTATATCAGTTTTTAACATGTTTGGTTAGTTCTAATCCATTACAGTTTTTTTTTTTTTAAGATTTTATTTATTTATTTAATTGACAGCGAGAGAGGGAACACAAGCAGGGGGAGTGGGAGAGGGAGGAGCAGAGAGCCCGATGTGGGGGGCTTGATCCCAGTTCCCTGGGATCATGACCTGAGCTGAAGGCAGTCGCTTAAGCAACTGAGGCACCCAGGCGCCCCATTACAGTTACTCTTACTGAGACTCAAATTGCCCCAGTATTGGCCATTAGGAGCCTCCTTTTAACTGGCTTGTTCTTTTGACTTGACCTCAGGGGCTCTCTTGTTTTCTGGTGTTATAAGATATCCTAGGTTCATCCTAGGATACATGTAGTATGGTTTTAGCTGTAAACCTGGAAATTAGCATTTCTTTAGGGAGCCCTGGTTCCTTTTTTAGAAGATGTCATTTAAATTAAACCAGGATTTGGTGGAGCATGTGACTCTTGATCTTGGGGTTGTAAGTTCAAGCGCCATGTTGGGTGTAGAGATTACTTAAAAATAAAATCTTTAGGGCGCCTGGGTGGCTCAGTTGGTTAAGCGACTGCCTTCGGCTCAGGCCACGATCCTGGAGTCCTG